ACGCCTGGACAAATTTTGCCAATTCTTTTTATTCTATTTATGATTGCTAGGAGAAGGTTTTTATAAAATTAGAAAAGTATAGGGGAAAATTGGTAGAAAATAATGTTAGCGTGATAGTTGGACCCGTGTGAACTGATTAGGATACTGAAGTAGACTCGAAATATACTACTAGCCGTGAAAATTACCCGTGCAACCGGTGTAGCGACGTCACTTTCTCAAGAATAGTATTAACCTTTATTGATTTTAAGAGCAATTTCTACTGTTTTTGTAATAGCAATATTTTAAAAATATCAAAATCTATAATAAAAATTCTGCGAAATGTCCCAAATATATTTTTAGTCTCTCTTTTAAAAGGGTAAGGAGCAGATTTACAACCGTTGGTAAAACTTCTCGGGTGACGACTTCATAATGTACACTAGCTGACCCGGCAAACGTTAATTTGCCATATAAATTATTACAAAAATAAATGTTTAGGGTCAATAACCCTTATCACTTAGGGGTATGAAAAATATGCAGTATCTAGTTGATTCTCAGACCTATTTAATATGCAAATTTGGAAAAGAGAAAGGTCATGAATGAATCAATAAATGAATGTACCTTATTGTAGACCATAATAATAGAAAAGTACAGGAAACCAAAAACACAAAAGATTTCGCGACGACGACGCGGTCTAATTTTTTGCGCTCGTACCACATTATATTGTTATAACGTTAGTAAGGAGGAAATTATCAAATTAAATTAATATAATTATGTTTCTTGTAATTGATCTTGATTGTTTCTAACAAACACAAATGCTACTTTCTTATCCACAGATTAAAAAAAATACACGCGACATCACGCATAATGTTATACTCTGTGGACCATAGACAAAAGTTTTTGTTTTTTTTTTCTCTTTTGTTATTAATTTTTTTAAGTCATTTAATTTTTATATGCGTCATTTAGATTAGATTTTTAGTATTATTTTATTTTCTTCTTTTTTTTTGTATTTTTGTTTTATGTGTGTGCGCTTGCGCGAAAATAAATGTTTTTCTTTCTTTCTTTCTTTCTTTCTTTCTTATCGTAAAACGTTTTAGGGATATAAAACTACACTAATCAAACTATACAAAAAAGAAAATAAATCCTATCTTTATATATAAACAATTCGTGTCACGTGTTTGTTCGCGATGGACTCCTAAACTACTACACCGATTTTAAATTTGATTTTCATTCCGTGTGCATTTTGATCCAATTTGAAAGATAGGATAGCTTACATCTAAATTTATAGTCACAATATTTATTTATTGCAAATTTTTTGTCCATATGTAATAAAACAGTTACCTTAGCCACAGCAACGCGTGGCTGGGTCTGCTAGTTCTATTCTATAAATATCAAAGAGGTATACTTACTAGTTGCATGACTATAGGTGTGATCACATTACAAACGGCCACATTTGACGCAAAGTTTGTCACAAATATTGTAAATATTATTATTAACAACATAATAAAGTGATTCGGAAAGATGCTTAGGTTTTTAAGTAATTTCCCAATTTGTCCATTCAAATCTGAATACTCCTTCTTAGCAGCCTCTGACAGTGCAAAACCACCGCCTAAAAGACAAGTTTTTATTAAATAGTACAAATATGAAACCAATTGAAAAATACGTTGGTCATGTTCCCGCCTCTCTGTCTCTTTCTCACATTTTAATTGAAATTAGAACACGTTTGAAATTAGAAACGTTGGTCAAAGTCATATTAGTCCCATTAGTCCGAGAGATCAATTCTCAAATGGCTCTCATTTACGGGGTGACTAACTGTAGTGCTATGAATTAGGTATTTTCTTTGGTAAACCATAAAATCCTTCAAGATTTCAATACAATTAAATATACAAAAATAATCGTACTTCATTGATATATTTGACGATATACTTCATTATACATTTTTATTGCTAAAATTTTTAGAAAAATGCTATTTGACATTTTTTTTATTTTTCATTCCAAATTCATAGAACAGTTTCGTTTTTGACATATCCATTGAATTTGACTAGATCTCAATGTCAAATACCCTATTGGTGACACATCAACTCTCACAAAAAAAAAATCTAGCTAGGGTCAGAAACAAGCTGTTGATAACTGGTATTCCAGTATTGAAATTTAATTTCTGAAGAATATTATTAAATGTTAGGAAAAATATGTACAGGTGTGCATATGCATGTGGGCGGGAGGGTGGGACCTTTGCTGCATGTGCATATGCATAATAATACGCCTGATTCTATAAATTAAGAATATTATTACCTAAGAGAAACATGAAACTATAAGGCATTATGTCGTCCATTAATGTCCAACTTAATACTGAAGTTATACGGTTCTTAGGCAAGTCGTCAACTGAAACGGTAATTCTTGCTTAAATTACATTGAAGTATAAAAATTATGAAAAAGGGAGAGTCAGACACTTTACTTGCTATGGCCAAAAGTACATGATTGTACTATTTTAGTGATCAATTATTGCAAACATTAAAAAATATACAATTAAGTATAATGGTGGAAAGTTTTTGATTTGTAAAAGAAACGAAAAAAATGTTGTCTAATGTTTTTAACCGACTTAACTGATGGACAACAAAAAAAATTAACTAAATTTTTTATACAACATAAATAATAACAAATTATTACTTTTTGCAGTGAAGTTTTTAAAAAACTGTAGAGTAGATGGCAGCAGGAGCATTAAGAAAACAACTAGCAAAGCCGCTGCCGAATCTCGTACACTGAAAACAATTAAAAAATGAATTATTTATTTTTTAAATAACGTAATTAAAAATAGATTAATATAGATAATTAAAATAGATTTGAATGTTTTTACAATTATAATTATATTCATACAATTTACAATTGGGCAGCAATTCCAGCCTATGACGTGCCATGCAGTTGCAATGCTCTGTGCCGCAAGAAACACACTTCTAAACGGTTTTATTTAGCTCACCCCGTTTGTTTTATTTATTTCATAACCCAAATGCGCCTACACTACCTCAAGCGCGGTCTGGTGACTCATTATTGTTCGCAGATATTTTTTACTTCGATATAAGTTAAGAATTTGGAGTAGTAATTCCCAAATGTTACACAATAAACAGACGTTAATGCAAAACAAAAAAAATAAAAATGTCGTATGTACAGGCTGGAATAAATAAATAAAAAAAACTTATAAAAACATGATTTTACACAGAAATAAAGAAAGACGACTGCACAGAGCGCGCGCGCTAAGTGCAGTGACAACTTAAAAAAGTGTTAACAATCCCAAACTTAACGTATAAGTATACGAACTATTTATAATTGTTTAGATTGAAGTATTCAGAAATTGCATCACCCCATCCTTGAAATATTTGCGGTGAACGACAAAAAAACAAGAGCATTGCGCTACTGAATAAAATTATCACCATCTGTAACGTAATAATATAATATTATTAACCTTACACGACATACTTATTTACTAACAAACTACACAACTATTAACAATCTATACTAGAACACAAACAAATATGCTGATACTAGCATACTAGCACAAAGGTTGATTGATTGTGTCAGAGCCATGCTTCGACATGAACGGACAGGCTCGACCGGACTGATACCATGGCCTCACAGAAAACCGGCGTGAAGCAACAAGTACGTTGTGTTTTGCCGTATGAGTGAGGTTACCGGAGGCCCAATCCTTTACCTCCCCATCCTCAATCCTCAAATCCCCTAACCTTAAATTCCTAATAACTCACTAAAGGCCGGCAACTCACTTGTAGTAACTCCTATATGGTATTGCAAGGGTCTATGGGCGCCGCTGATTGCTTACCACCAGGTAATCCGACTGTTTGCCAAACTATGACACATAAAAAAACCGCATAGTTGGCGCACTGACCGGCTGCTATAGAGCATTTTAAAACGATTCCTGTGTCAGACAAAAAGATTTTTCTTAAAAAAGTGATTGTTGCCAGAAAGTTCAGCGGTGGAGCTTCGAGCCCCGAGAAGTTTGTAAAGCTGTTGATTCTGCACCTGATCCCCTTCCTCATTCAGAGAATGAGGGAATAGAGAGCACCTGTGGCGGTCTGGTTAATCAGACAGGCCACCAGGAAGGCTTTTATTTAGCACATCAAACTGTTCTTGTTTAAAAAAACATAGCATACAAATCTTTTTTGCTCAAAGTCGCATATTATTAAAACCTGGGATAAACAATTCAATACTTTTTCTTGATAATGTTATGATTAACGTCAATATTGCCTTTTTACACACACACACACACTAAACAGAAGCATTAAATAGCGTTTATCGAGACTGTGCTTTAAAATCGGGAAATTCAGTACTGTTTATATTTTGTATGATTTTGCAAAGAAAATTACTGTAGCAATCGCGTATGGAACTAGTAATAACTAGTAGAACTATTTCATTAAATTCATATAAAGGAAATATCCGCCAGATGAAGCCGGTCATGGCCGGTAGTACCTATATTATACAAGTTGACACAATTGTCTTACGATTTCCCAAAATGTTATGTTTCCCAATTCCTTCCAGCTCTGTTCAACAACATTTTTTGCGGCTTGCTTTCCGAGTTCAGGAATTTTTGTTCGTTTAGCAATTTCACTCTTAGGTCTGAATTAAAATGAGAAAGTATTTTTCAATAAATTAGTTATTAATTAGAATTCCTATAATACTAAGGTATTTTTATATGCTGCTAACTGCCATAGTAATAATAAGAAAATTCTTGGACATTGTACAGAGGGATGCCAAATTGGCTCACCTTGAAAATCTCAAAAACCTTTAAAAGCACTTAACATCTCTGGTGTTCTAGATGTCAACGGGGCGCGCCGATTGCTTACCGTCAGTTAATACGCCTTGCTCGTTTGTCGACCTATTTCATAAAATAACCTCATTTCTTAACTATCACAGTGAAGGACACAATATAACAAAAAAACGAGCATCTTCTTAAGTACCTTAAAAATCCCAAAAACTTCACAATCAATGTGAAATATAATCCTGCTTCTAATATCAACATGTATGGAACTGAAAATGCTGAATACTTTGGAAATGATAAATACTCCGGTGCCGATGGGTATGTCCTGAAGGAAGATGAAAACATTGTTAAAATGGTTACACATAATTATTTTAGTAATTGAATCACCAAAGCAATTGGACATTAAAATATTTTACCTTTCATATAGTCCTTTGAAAACTAAGTTAGTTGCGGAGCCCACCAAAGTACCAATACCACCTAAAATATAAGAGAACAACTAAAAATCCGTAAAATAGTGGATGCTGTGGATATTTTGACCTCAAACTCACCTATTGTAGCAGAAAAAGACGCAGCACAGAAATAGCAAGTCGTAATGTCTGATGCAATCAAGTCACCATTAGCGTTTTTCTCGAATGTAGATATTAAGTTAAGCTGAAACAAGTCATATTAATTACTATTATTATTTCTTATATTATAGGTCGGCAAATGGATTACCTGAATGGTAAGCAATCAGTGCTGCCAATCGAGCTGTTACGAGTGCGTTGCCGGCCTTTTAGGGATAAGGGTTGCGGATATTTAAGAATCGGGAAGGGATGGGGGATGGGGAGGGATTGGGCCCCCGTTAATCTCACTCACACGGCGAAACATAACGCTGAGGTTGTTTCACGCCGGTATCACTGCGGTCGAGCCGAACCATTCATGCCGAAGCTAGGCTCTTCCACGCATCACACCAAAAATTAAGCGGTAAGGACAAGTTGTCAAAATAGCTTTTAAAATGCTGCGAGCTTTAGTTGCGGTTGAAGGCCCAGAAAGGTGATTGAGAGAGTCGCGAGGACCTAATGAGTACAAAAAGCAAGTTTATCGCCGGACGTGGGAAATATCAAGGGCGTCTAAAGGGAATCATGACGCTTAATTTAAGAGCGCATTGAAGTCTTAGTCATTTTCATAAATTTGACAAATCTGACGGTTGGTGCGGTGGCTTGGCAACTGGCTACCACGCAACATTTCACGGGTTCGATTCTCACACGTAACGACTCTATGTGTGATTTACAGATTGTTGTTCCGAGTCTGGGTGTGATGTGTATGTGAAATCGTATGTTTGTAAACGCATCCACGACACAGGAGAAAATCCTAGTGTGGGACAACATTTTTTTTAAACGAATTTGATATCCGAAACTATTACTTGCTAGCTTAAGGAGTAATTACTTACATCCTCAAACACTTGTAGCACAGCAAATATTATGGGCACCATCATGGTAGTTGCAGCAGTATTCGTGATCCACATCGAAATAAACATAGTTGTAAGTGACATTGCTAACAATAACCTATAAAAAATGTGAATTAATCTCAACCACATTCGTATATAGACACAGATAAATTAAGGTTTAGATAGTCCAAAGGATTCGTAATAAAAAACAACATTGCAGAAGTTATTTTTTCATCTATACTGACTCACTTCACTTTTATCACACTAAAGCCTTTTTACCAGCATGACCTATTCATCAAAATGAAATGTTTGCAAAAAGGAAAATTTACTTTTTTCTGGTTTAGAACAACAACCCTTTTCTTTCTTAAGAAATACATATGTATATATGTAGATATACTAGACTAGACCTTCTATTCATATAAGTAAGTAGATAAGTGAACTAAGTGAAGTTAATAGAAGTAATCTCTCTCTGTCTCTAACTCTTTCTTTTAATCTGGTATAACTTTAACTTTTCTCATCATCAGCCTATAACTGCCCACTGCTGAGCAAAGGCATCTTCTCACGCGGAGAAGGTTTTGAGCATTAATCACCACGCTTGCTACTTAAACTTTTCTATTGATTTTGAATATGACTTTAAAGAAAAGTAAATTCTGTAAAGGTATAGGTAGTAAAGGTTCAAAAGCATAAGGTCAGCTGCAAAGTTTTGAATAGAATATTGACTGCTAAATAGTTTTAACATAAACAATACCTGTAGTGAGAATAGCCAATCAGTCTAATGGCACCAAGTGCTACTCTTTTGTGTAATCCTGATTGCTCAACGGCATATGCAAGGGCCATGCTCCCGTAAAACATAATAATGGTGTCCTGTAAGTTAAAATAGTTAAAATCAATCACATTTTAAATAAAAAGTCCGTCTACGTATTTAGTAGTCATCCAGTATTTACTATATTCTTAGAAGAATCCCTCTTTCCGAAGCCCGGATCGAGCGGAATAATTAAATATAAAAAGGGTAACAATTGAAGCATCAAGTTCAGTTGGTCGTTGGCAACGACTCGTTGCAGTTGGATGGGGTCGGACGAGTATCGGCGATTATTGTTTATTTATTTAATAGTGTGTCTAATTATTTTATTGTGTACTTATGCTATATCGGCCATTATATTGTTGTTATTGGCTTTTGTTACATTGATTTTGATGGTACTGAGCGTGTACCTTTCTGTTCTATAATAAATAAGACGTCAGTCTATTAGGTTATGGTTTCGTGTGTTTTTTTTTTATTTTTTGTTAATTAGTGTCTGTAAGAATATAGTTCAACTTGGTTTTAATTGTATCTAAATCCTAGTCTAAATGGATTATCCTATTAACAACATTATACAATGATCCAATATTGTATGTTACGATAACGAACGCAATGTTATAGAAAGTCAAAATCTTAAGCGTTTATTCCAAAATGAAGATTAAATTAAGAAAAGCAAAAAAGAAACTGATTGTTAATCTTTTAAAAATGTGTTTCACAATCTCAGAGTAAATGTTATTATTATATACAATATCGCATAATGTGCGAACAATGCATAGAGAAATAACAAAAATATAAATACAAAATTGAAAAAACCACCGACAAAATATCTAATACTCTTTTAAAAAGTAGGTAATAATTAAAAAAAAAGTTGCGTTGGCGGATCGATCCAAATATTTTATTATCTACTAAGTACATATTTCTATTTTGACCGGGGGGTCTAACTATTTTTTTATTTTATACTTTTTATAGGTATTTTATATCATTTTCATTTGCAGATCTTCGAATAACTTCTAAACGGTTCAACAGATTTTCGTCAAATTTAAAGTACGCACATAAGTCACCTATAATACAAAAACAAACTAAATTGAAATCGCTTCATCCGTTCAAGCTCCAGGGTGTCACAGACAGACAGACAGACACGTCAAAGTTATGACACTCTTCTTTTCCCGTCGGGGGTTAAAAATAAAGCTAACTTACATTAATGTAACACAAACATGCAGTACGCGTGTCCATTACATCAGCTAGGGGAAATATCACTATTGGTAGAAACGATGTTACAGGCAGGGGGATACACTCGGTTACCCAGAAGACAGCCATTATAAGAAGGGTGTATGCACACCATTGATACTTCTGAAAACAAGAATCTTATTAAATATCACTATTCGTTTTGGATTTATAGAGTATACAAATTATTAGTTTCTGTTCATTTACAACAACAAAGTTATCTTTATTTTAGAAGGGGAGAGTGGTGTAAAAATTAACATGAATCAGCGAAATTTCCGATCGGTTGAAGCGGAAAATTGTAAAGAAAGTGTAATTTCACGGAGATCTTGAAGCCTCAAAATTCTTTTTGTTTTTGCTAATGTTACGCATAATTTTTAAATAATATATAGGTTTACAAGTAAATAAAAGTTAGTGGTGTTAGGTGACAATATTTATATAACTCAAGAACGGCTGAACCACTTTCGTTCAGAATTGGTGGGAAAGTATTTTAGTAACAGAAGAATATTTTAAATAAAAACAGTTTGCGTTCATTCCGTATTTCATGTCATTTTGTCTATTTATGAGCATTTACTGCACGGTTGGCCTGATGGGCGGCCGCCGCGACTCTTGTCGCGGGTTCGATTCCCACTCGGAACAATTCTTTGTGTGACCCACAAATTGTTGTTCTGGGTCTGGGTATGATGTGTATGTAAATTGTATGTATGTTTATAAACGCACCCATATCACAGGAGAAAATTTTTTTTTGGTAATCTCCAATTGATAACGCTTTCAGCAGATAAAACGCTCTACTTTCGATGATAACCTACTTATATTAATAACTAAGTCTTCGTGTAGATATGTGGTGGTTTTAATATACCTACAGATTATTATTTTTGAACCTTTTTTGAAAAATCTGGCCAAGCCTAGAGCCCGTAAATTTCATTTTTGCAGTTTACTCAAGAAATTTCATTAGGATTTTATCAGGACCAGATCCCTTTTGCAAAATTTATTCTACTCACTTAATAATAATGATCTATAATATATATTTTAATTTGAGAAATCTACCTTCGAAAGAGATAGTTTATCGTTTAGCTATTTTGAGCTTCAACTTGTAAGTACAAATACTTAGCATTATGGACGAATATTTTGGACGAAGTCAAATATTTGTGAAGCGCGCCATCTGTTACTGATCACTTGAATTAATTCCTCAAACCGGTTGCTACAATCGCTAACGTCACTTTATCGTCAACTTTTTGGAACTAGTTTTCGTCGACAGAGGCCGCCATATTGAACGTTCTGTCTAATTATTAGTTTGGTTCTCTAATAGGCTTTTGGTTTGTGCTTAGCAGATTGTGAACTACGTGCTTTACAATCGGTATTAGATAACCTCCTTCCACCGCGATATGAAAAACACAATTGTAATAAAATATATCAAACCTCTGGAGGAAATGGTGCAAGTACGGCGATAAATAATAAAGGAGTGATCAGGCAAACTACTCCACGCCAATGAGCACTTAGAAAGAGAACGAATCGTCTTCGCCGTGATACTTTTTCATCTTGATTCCTGTATTATAATAAAAAACTATATTTGTTATGGATCAACGCCGCTTATGTACCAGGTGATATTAGCAATATCAGGATAACCAATGTTTTGTGGAGGGAAAACCGAATCTCTCGCCCTAGCGAGAGAGAGGGTCAGACTTCCTCCTGCTTCAGGCGGAGGCCGCGGTACCTTATTTCGGTTGACCTGCGTCAATCCTAACCTCCTAAACTCAGGTAATCCTAGAATTACCTGAGTTGGGCCTTTGGTTAGCTCGCTGTGAAGCCATATTGTATCATTCCAGCACTTTCGTACTCAGGTATGCGTCGTGATAAGGTAGGAAGAAGTAATTTTCTTACCAACTTTAATAAAAGTAACACGCATATTTAACTAAACCCCGCAACATTCAAGGCACCATAACCGACCAACATCATCATCATCATCAGCCTCATGTCGTCCACTGCTGGACATAGGCCTCCCCAATTGCAGGCCACTGAGTTCGATATTCAGCTCTTCATCCAATATCTGCCAGCCACCCTGTGGATGTCCTCCGGCCACCTAGCTGGAAGGCGCCCTACAATACGTTTGCCTAGACGTAGTCTCCAATCTAGAACACGTTTGACCCAACGGCCATTAATAATGGACTTTAGTTTGCTAATCCATTGGGATGTAGATAACTTTAGTTCAGGCCACTGAGTTCGATATTAAGCTCTTCTCATCCAACATCTGCCAGCCACCCTGTGGATGTCGTCAGTCCACCTAGCTGGAAGGCACCCTACACTACGTTTGCCTAGACGTGGTCTCCAATCTAGTACACGTTTACCCCAACGGCCATTAATAACGGACCTTAGTTTGCTAATCCTTTGGGCTCATAACTTTAGTTCTCTGTCGACTGTGGTCACCAACTGACTATTTAGGAAATTATTTCATTACCAGACTACCCTACTCAAAAAAGACCTTAAGTTTAAAAACTCACAAATCTTCTGGTTGATTCGCTATTTTAGTATCACTAACACTTTCCTGAGTTTCAGCCATAACAATTATATGAAAGGTAATTCAATCGATATATTATTATACTACTGTAACGCTTGTCAAACAACTAATCGGGATGGTTAGGCATATAATAAATTTGGAAACCAGATGGCATGGCCTATAAAGGTAGTGAATTCTTATACGAGTATAATCTGGTACCTTATAATTTGGTTGCTTTTTAATCATCATCATCATCAGCCTATAAGTGCCCACTGCTGACTAAAGGCATACAGATTTGCTCAATGCAGGTTGGCGATTTCAAACTTATAATTAGAAATCATAAGCCCAGGTTTCCTTACGATGTTTAACGTCATCATCATCATCATCATCAGCCTATAAGTGCCCACTGCTGAGTAAAGGCATACAGATTTGCTCAATGCAGGTTGGCGATTTCAAACTTATAATTAGAAATCATAAGCCCAGGTTTCCTTACGATGTTTAACGTACCTTCACCGTATGTCAGTTGTGTCTAAATAATCATAGAAAAAATCACATTGGTACTTGCCAGGTTTCGAACCCACACCCTCATGCATGAGAAGCGGGCTCCTTAACCCTTCATCACTCGCGCGGTTTTTCACCTCGTGAGCACTCGCGGGGTGTTGTGGCCACCCCACATACTCAAAGGACATTTATACAAATATGGTAGAAGTTAATGGAATTACAACTGCATTTTATTATTTTGTGTTGTATACCGCATATAAATAAAAAACCTTAAATTTATAATTAACTTTATTGCTGTTCTACAATACATTATAATAATCCGCCTTTTTAGGCATGACATTGAGATCATTTCTCAAAAAAAACAAAAACAAAAAAAAATCTTCATTTTTAACTTAAATTTGGTCATTGAAAATCAAAATATAAGGATTAAATAACAAAATTAAATAAAAATTTCTTATTTTTCGTAACAAGAACTGCAAATTAACTTCATGTGTTTTTGACACATGTTTTTTTTACAAAAAATGCAGTGAGCTAATGTTTTGATGTCTTTAGAACGTGGACAAACTATACAGTGCTGCTTTTTTGTAGGCGACATTTCTTCGGTGCTTGATCCAGAAGCATTCAACATCCTCTTGAGTGCTTTCGGTAACCCTGGTTGTGATGATCTTCTATTCCAAGTGGAGATTTACAAGTTTTGGCATTACCTTTGGGGCCGGGAGCTTCAGTAATTATGTATATTGAGAGCGCGGGTTCTAATTGCAGTAAGACCCTTGACTTTGTGCCATTTAGTTATTGTCTTTTCCGATGAAATCATCTCGTTGACGATCCCGAGTTTCAGCCTCTTCTACTTCAGCCTCCGATAAAATATCCTGTTCTGATAAAGAATCATGATCAGATTCTTGAATAAAATCTTCATCCAAGCTGGCCTCACTTTCCGCTGCCACATTATCTTCGTTATCCGATATTATTTTATTCTTCTAACAAATCTGCCAATATCGCTTGATCCTGTTCCCAACTCTTCTGAAAACAAAAAGATTTGAAAAATAAATACATGCCTACGAACACAGGAGGGTACCTAAACCTAAATCATTAAATATATGCTTAGAAATACATAAATATACATTTATAGTAAATAAAAACACAACTGAATAATTTATGTTTACAAAAAAGTTGAAATCACATACCTTGATGATAAAGTAAGCTCTGCAAAAGTATAACACGAGCGCTCGCGGGGTGTCGTGACCACCCCACGCAAACTTTGACACGTCCTCATATTGCCAGCGCTCGCGCTATACCATAGACTATACAATATATACTGCGCTATACTACCCCTTCCGACCCGTTTCGATGCATTTAAAGGTCACTTGAAGGTGCTGAGACGAACCGATACATAAATGAAGAAATTATAATTCTTTTTTACGTTCAAAAATGCGTGGGGTGCCGACAGCACCCCACGCGAGTGATGGCGGGTTAACCTCCGGGCTACCACGACATTAGTTGTGGTTGTTGGTTGCTTTTTATGGGACGACAAATGTACGCTCGCAATTACAATACTAGTAAAATTTCTTCTATGAAATGTGTATGCAACCCCAAAAGATTTTTTTCGTCAATAAGCTTACTTATTTAAAAATGTTAACTAGGAATATGTAAAATAAGTATCGCATCTAGTAATTAGGGAGGTATATCGTTAAATCAATGAAATTTATATTATAAAAATATTATTTTTTACATAAGTCAAAGTCAAAATCATTTATTCAAACGGAACCGTAAATAGGTACTTTTGAAACGTCAAAATAGAAAAGTCTGTTCGTCAGTGAAGTTAGGTGCTCATTCGAAATTGTAGCAAAATATTAAGGATGTAGCTCTCACGTCGTCTACAAAACCCCATTCAAAGAGGTAAATATAAATAAAATAGGCTATATAGGCCATAGATAAAGCACGAACGTCACAGCAGCAGCCAAAATGCATAATATACACGGACAGGCAACGTGTAAATTAAAAAAAATATTAAAATTAACACCAATCCGTTGAATATATTTTATCATAAAATTACTTATAGTTCGTTCCATAATTAGAGACAACGATTTGACATTTCGAATGTTGCATGTTTTTTCCATTTCATAAATAGTGAAGTCCCGCGACCGGTATTGACCGAAAGACCGAAATTAAATTCTGGACTTCGTGCATTTTAAAAGCTTTTTTATTTTTAGCTACTTTCCCTGTTACCTTCCTGTGCCCATACTAACTCAGTCGGGTTAAAATCATAATGGTAAGGAGGCAACCGTAAAATAGTGACCCACCTTTTAGCAGCCATCAGTCCACGACGTATCGTTCATAATTACTCTTCTATTTCCGGGAAATCTCCAACATCTCGGCTTTCAGCATAGATTCCTCAAATCTAATGTTTTTCTTTTAGACAGTCTTGGATTTCATATTTTTATTTTAAATTATTATTATTAATTCCACTAAACTATAAAAATATCACGGCAACTTTGTTTTATTTTGCTCAGGGTAAAAAAACGGTATCGGTATTTTATTTAAAGCATCGTACTCGGGCCCATCACTATGTCAAAAAATCTGGCCACATTATTTTGTAGTTTGACATTTGCTGTTGTCAAATTGTTGTCTCTAATTATGGAACGAACTATAGTAATATTTTATTTTCTTTTTGTCTTCTTTTTTCTACGTTTACCAATTCTATACATTATCCGAAGTAAATGTAATCTAAGTATAATATAAAAATGAATCGCGAAATGTGTCGGTAAGCGCATAACTTAACGACTGGTCCAATTTTGCTGATTCTGTGTTGTGTTTTATTTTTATGTGAAGGTTCTTATGAAAAAAAAAAAAACAGAAAAGTAAAGGGGAATATCCGGAATTAACAATCCTTTAGATGCTGCGGCCGTTTGCTAAAAAAACAAATGACTGACGGGATAGTCGGATACCTACCCGTGCGAAGCAAGGGCGGTCCGCTAGTTAGAAATAAAAATGAATTAAAACAATTAGGAACCAAATTATTATGTATTTATTTTTCACTTTCTTTAAATTGAACAAAACTTAATGGATAAAATATCGCCATAGGTATACATAAAACGAGTTTATCGAAAACTTTCTGGATACCTACTGAATATATAGCTAGTGTGAATTTTCCAAAGTTGTAATATAATTAGTATAATTAAACTGAACGTTCTATTCTTCTACTTTAGCAGCGGCAATCCAATCAGGCATTTCTCTTAGATCTGGCCAAATGATAGGTGCATATGTGTTCATTGCTATCCATGTTAGGGCCATAGTACTAAGGGTAGGCCCAAAACCAGCTACAATCTGAAAAAAAATGGGTTGTAATTTTAAATATCATTGAAATACAAATTTGTTTGCATTTTGCAAAAATATTGCAGTTTCCTGAATCGACAACACAGTCATTATTTCGGCTTTCAAATAATATAAAAATACTAGCTGACCCAGCAAACGTTTTGCCTTCAAAATTATTTCAAAGCAACCCTTGTGACTTAGGAGCCACTTATAAAATAGCCAGTTTCTCTCTTATTCCTCAGACCTACTGAATTTGGTAAAAAATAATAAAGCAGTTTCAGTGAAGTAAGGCAGTTGTGACACGGGAATTTTATATGTAAGTTTGAGTTTTAAACACAATCATACCTTCGTTTCTTGATTAGGTGATGTAATAATGGCTAATCTTATATATAAAAATGGATCACAAAATGTGTTGGTAAGCGCATAACTCAACAACGCCTGGACCAATTTTGCTAATTCTTTTTTTGTTGTGTTTATTATTGTCAGGAGAAAGTTTTTATCAAAGAAAATATTAGAAAAGTAGAGGGGAAGATTAGGAAAAGGTGACTCTTTGATAGCAAGATAATTGGACCCGTGCGAAGCGGGGGCGGGCCGCTAGTACTTTATGAATATATGTTTTTTATAAAAAAATTACAATCTCTTTTATAAATTCACATTTTTTTAGCAATTTGATAACGCATAGATAAAGGCAACCTTCAAAAAGTTTTGAGTCATCATAACTTTTGTTTTCCTTTTTATGAAGTAAAATAACGGAGACAAAAGGAAATGATTGGAAACCTAAGCCAGTTTGTTGCGCGAATTGAGTCAGAAACTACTACTCGGTACTAGTTTTCAGTCAATGTACCTGTTCTTCATGAGCAACGTGCACATCGCGATAACTTTGCAATAACTTAAATATTGTTTTTTTTTTAATTTCTCTAAATAACTTATCATCAAATAACTCCTCCCGCCCCTAGTGTTAAACTCTTACTGACAAAAAATTCTCCTGCTCTGGGCCGAGGTTGCGGTGCATAATTGCGCTTACTCGAAACCCCGTCTGAAATGCTAATTTACGCTAGAGCCGTTATTTTCAACACATATATATAACTTACCATTTTTGCAGTCGGAATTTTAGCAGCACTCTGCGCTATAAGGTTTCCAGGAGTTCCTACAGGTATCATGAAGCAGAAGGAAGCAGCGTATCCAGAAGTAATGGCATACCACAAAGGATTTTGGTTAATTTCTTTTGCCTGAAATGTTAATAAATATTCATTGGTAAAAAACTTTGACCTGATTTAAAGGTAGGTATTTAATTGTATTGTATGGGGAAAAACAGAATAATCAAATATTCAGTGCAGTGTACTTAATTTACTCACTAAAGAATTATTGAATTTTTAAACGTATAATTTATCTAATTCTGAGGTAATCTTTGTTGCTGCAAATAATAGCTGATGATTTTTACTTTGAACCATTTTAAGTTAATAAATCAATATGAAAATCGGCACATAAGTAGGTACTGATTTTAGGCTATGACAAACTTTTTCAAAGGCGTATTCCTTTTTAGAAAGTAAGATTGTCATAGTTAGGTTATGCCATAAACTACAACTTGTCTAGATCCAACTCAACACAGGACAACCCAATCCATAGTGTGTGCTCTACTGACAGTTCTAAAACATCTTTCCTTCTTTCGGCTAAGGGCCCACCGTGTAACGTATATTTAGTTCTACGAAAATTACTAATGATGCTATAATTATCAAAATCAAAAGACATTAATTGCTCCTCTTATATCCAATGTTTTGTCTCTATTTTGCTATTTTAAATAATTAACAGGAGGCAGCTCTGAATATTAACATGAATTGTGTTGGGGTAACAGCGTTGGGCTGTTATGTTATGATTTCCTTTACAGAATACGGCTTACTTCTTAAATTATTTGTAATGGTGTGTTCTGCTGCTTTATAATCTAGTTTAAATCTATTACCGAGCTATTAAAGTTGTCTAGATAGTAAGGATTCACTAGAATTCCTACTACTACAATAATTAGGAAGGTGTGCTGCTTATTGTTTGTCGACAATCCATACATACAAAGCACTTAATTTTTTTATATTTATTGATGTTATCCTAACCTCAAGAAAACTAGCTTGATTTGAGCTAAAATCTGTGCAATCTGTGTAAACATAAAATATTACCTAAGCTTGTAGATACTGGGCAGCATCATTACTAACTGTTAGCTATTTATAACTATGGGTAATATACTAAAAATCTAGCTTCACTCACCAGTTGCATGGCTATAGGCGTAAACACATTACACACAGCCACGTTAGATGCAAAATTTGTAACAAGAACTACAACGACAACTATAATGAGAAGAACCATCGGATTCGGCAAGGGTTTCAATATCTGCATTGATTCTCCGAGTTTAGCGTTCAAACCCGAAGATTTGGCGGCACTTGATAATGCAAATCCCCCACCTAAAACGGTAAATTACTTGAATAGTTTAATCTTAAATAATTTAAATTAACAACCACAGCGTTGCATTTTGCCGTGTGAGTGAGGTTCATTGGAGGCTCAATCCTTCCCCTGCCCCAATCACTTATCCCCAAAAGGTCGGCAACGCACTCGTAACTCCTGTTGCTGCCTTACCATCAGGTATTCCGTCTGGCCGTTTGTCGACCTATCACATAAAAAAAAAGAAAATAATAATAATTTGAGCATTGCAATGCATTTTGTAATTATAACCATGAGATCATTTACAACCACAACGCTCCAACAATATCGTAAAAATTTGGCTGCCTTAAATTCATCACGTAATAGGCTCTTAATAAACTAGTGCGCCTTACCATCAACGATTGCATCACTGCTTAACATCAGGTGGGATCGCAGTCAAGCACTGGTTTATTGCAAGTAAAAGAAAAGAAAAAAGAAAAAAAAAAAAAAAAAAAAAAAAAAAAGTCGGTTATTGCACGTGACTTTCATAATTAGGGCCTATCGGAAAGACTTACACCCGGTTTTCGAAAGGCCGATCAATGTTAAAATCAATTTAATCTCTTGTCAAGTTACTGAATTATCAACAACCAATCAGATGACTTGACAAGAGATTTAACAGGAGATTAGTTAATTTTAGCGTTGACAAGCCTTTCAGAAACCGGGTGTAAGTTTTCTAACGTCGTCAAACAGTAATAATGCAAACAAGGCTCATTTAAAATTATTTTTTGTTCTGAATTTTCTTTTATTATCATGCTGCATTATTGAGAAAAAGCAAATTAATAAAATAAACTAACCTAACAAGAAACTGAAAGCGAATGGCATTTGAGTGTTCAACAAGCCCCAGTCCAAAACGCTTAGTGCCTTGCCTTTCGGCATGTCTTCTTTGTCTAAAAAAAACAAATTATTAATTACAATGCTTCTTCAATTGTCCAATTTGTAAATTTTGGAATGTTGAGGTAATAATACACAAATCATAAAAGAGTCTTCAATGAATGCTGTTTTTATTTTTTTTCGATCAGGATGGCTGTCTTCACTTAATTTTGGATATTTAAAAATATAAAGCATACATACACTTCACTGTAAAGTTGGAGAAAAAGCTTAAAGTTCGTGGCAAAAGTAACATCAAGAATCCGACAAACATAGCTAGAGCAGAATCACGGATGCTGCAAAAAAGGGAAAATAATATTTATGATAAACGCTTCTCCGTTCGTAGTGTTGCAGTACTCAAGGTTGTGTCGGAGGATTTTTTCTAGGGTACTTTCTATTCATATAAATACTTCCATAATATGCAATGGGAGATTTGATGAAAATAATTGTTTTTAACATACTAGCTTTTGTCAAATTTGCACATCATGTTAAAAATTACATTTGCACATCGTGTTAATATTTACATTAGTGTTTTACGAAATTTATATCATTTTGATAAAAAAAAACTGATTTTCGAAATTTATTTACACCTTTTTTTACTTTTTAAGAGACCAAAGGTTTATTTCGGCATTTCTCTTTAGAACAGTCAGATAGAAAAAAATGCCTCGTTGTTCGTTTAAATGACTTATTAACATGCAACCTATTTGCAAAATAAACATTTATCATTTTATAAAGAAAAAAAGTAACGTACAATTTTTTATCATCGACATCAAAGTATTCGATGAGAATATCTCCCCAACCCTTAAAGAGTTGAGGTGAACGACAGAAGAACGATACCATAGCACCACCAAATAGAATGCAGACCATCTGAAAGATAACTTTATTAATAAAATGAAACTGGTTTTTAGTATCAATCCTACAACGCTTGCCTTATGAGAATGGTAATCTGAAGCCCAGTCTGTAACCCTATCTTCAAATAATTCAATCTTCAAATCGCAAACATTCAAAGGCCAGCAAGGAACTTGCAACTCCATTGGTGTTTTGAGGGTGCATGGCGGCGCCGTTTACTTTATCATTAGGTGATACACGGGCACGTTTGCCATCCGTTGGAATTTACAAAATAATACACAAGTCGCGTAGTGTATACTAACTTTTAAACTTTCGCGTTTCATCTTAACAACATTATATTTACGCGGGTATTAACGCGGAAAATTATAATTTGAATACCTTGGTATTCAAATTGTATTTGTATTGTGTAATTGGATGTACTGCCGCTACAAAGCCCAGGTGTTTATAAGATCAACTGCAGCTGCGGTAGTTCCTACATTGGGCAAACGAAGCAGACCATTGCTGAGAGGCTCAAAGAACATATCGCCGCAGTCAAAAACCGACAGAGCAACAAATCAGCGATAGCAGAACACCTGCTCCAGGCTGGTTCTAATCACTGGGTAGAATTCCACCGACCGCAAATTCTCTCCACTGATCGCCACAACCATACAATTAAGACTTGTGCGTGAAGCGGTTGAAATAAAGAAATGCCCAAATAATTTCAATCGGGAGGACGGCTTTAAATTGTCGTCGACGTGGAATCCAGTGCTTCGCAAAACACAACCTCCTTCAAAGTCGGTTAACACATCTGTGGATATAATCAGCGTAGTGTGTAGACGGCCTAATATGGTAGAAAATGAAAATAAGGGGGTAGATGAAGATTCATCACCCGACTGCAGGGAGCTGTGACATCGCGTCTTCAGTCTGCTTGTGACCACGACCTGTGCAACCGGGTCGAAACGTCAAGCCTACCAAGGTATTCAAATTATAATTTTCCGCGTTAATACCCGCGTAAATATAATGTCGCGTAGTGTAGTTATTGAAATTTGAAACATACCCCTTCCCAGTAAGATATTGCTCCTCTTTTTTTAACATCGGCAGCAATAGCAGTCTTTGCAGCATTTTGTGCGACTAATGGTATTTTTGCTTTTTTTGCTGCTTCGCTACCAGGTCTGGAATCAATTTGACAATACCAATATTATTAACATTATTAACAATATTATTAATCGGTGTTCTTTCACGGCCATAATTGGTAAATGCCGCAAAGTTCTGCGCTTGACTTCTCGGCCTTAGTATCGCTAAACTCAGTCAAGTCATTCTGTTGTTTAGAGAGTGATGGAATTGAAATTCGTATACTTGGTCGTTAACTATAAATTCTATAAATTATGTCCTGCTTCGACTCTGGTGTAGCATGGTGATATAGAAATCAGTTGGGATCTGCCTTTACCTAGGTACGTCACAACAGTAAATATTGAATATATAAGTGAAAAGTTAAAAGCGATTACTGCCAACATGTTACTATTAACATTCTACAAACCAACTGCACAGCTGATTCGCTAGTTAGGCAACTATCGATACATTTCAATACCCACATTGAATTTTCTTTTAATAAATCGTCTACACATTTTTTTTATTTAAAGCTGTTCAAATAAAAGCTATAAAAAACCGGCCAAGTGCGAGTCGGGCTCGCGCACAAAGGGTTCCGTAGCATCGTTTTCAGTGTAAGCACAATAACTTAACCAAAATTACAGTTAAATCAACCTATCTCAAAAACTATAAGAGATACTTTGATCAAACCAAAAATCGTTGAAAGAGTTAATTAGCATGCATCACCTCTATTTTTTTTAGAATTTTATACCCCGTAGTTATAAAAATAGAGGGGGGGGGACATACTTTTTACGACTTTGAGAGCTGATATCTCAAAAACCGTTCACTTTAAGAAAAATGTTTTTTAGAAAACTTTATATCATTTTAAAAGACCTTTCCATTGATACCCCACACGGGTATGTACATCGAAAAAAAAATTTTCATCCCTCAGTTACATGTATGGGGGGCCCCAACCCCAATTCTTTTTTTTACTATTTAGTGTCATAATTTTGTAGCGGTTCATACAACACATATTCCCATCAAATTTCATCACTGTAGTACTTATAGTTTTCGAGTAAATCGGCTGTGACAGACGGACAGACGGACAGACGGACAGACGGACAGACGGACATGACGAAACTATAAGGGTTCCGTTTTTGCCATTTTGGCTACGGAACCCTAAAAAAGGTGAACAATTCTTACCTTAAGAATCCAAAGTACGTGACTGCCATATATAAATAAACAAATGTTTCTAATACAATCATGAATGGAACAGCAAAGAATGAGAATTTCGGGAACGACAAATATTCTGGAGCCTCCAAATACGATCTGGAATATAAAAACGAAAGAGTTAATTTCGAGACAAAACGATTTTTTACATTCATTGTGATGGCTACTTACTGCATAAACAGTCCTTTGAACACTAAATTCGTTCCAGTACCTACTAAAGTGCCAATGCCACCTGAAAAAATGAAAACGAAAGTTGAAAAAGGGGGTCTAAATCTATACTAGTGATAACTAAAATATCTAGTTGAATTTTCTTAAACGAAATAACTGAATAAAGCAAATACTTAGTTAAATTTTAAATAAATTAAATAAATAAATTAGTACTAATAGTAATATTATATGTACTTTCTATGATTGCTTAGACACCACTGACATACGGTGAAGGTAAACATCGTGAGGAAACCTGGACTTTATAAGTTTGAAATCACCAACCCGCATTGAGCAAGCGTGGTGATTAATGCTCTAACCTTCTCCGTGTGAGAAGAGGCCTTTGCTCAGCAGTGGGCATTTATAGGCTGATGATGATGATGATGAAATAAATAAATAAAATTTTCTTGAAAGAAAATAATATTTTAGGTACCGGCCGTATTGAAACCACCGCAGGGCGAAAACCGTAGAGGTATGGTTTGGGGCTATCAGAAATAAAATTCAGAGCGGGAAGAAAATTGTAATTTAAATTCAATAACATTTTGCAGAACAATTTGTTATGAAACATGCCTAAATCATGTCGGATCGTTTTTAATAAAGCTTACCAACAGTTGCTGAGAATGTAGCTGCACAGAAATAACAAGCAGTCGTATCACTTGCAACCAGGTCGCCGTCCGAGTTTTTCTCAAAAACTTTTATTACTTTTTGCTGTGAACAAATAACGCATTATACCTTATTTATCTCTATTCGAAAATCAAAATATTCCTTGGAGATCAGTGTTATTCTCTTCGATCGTGTGGAAAATCACCTAATGACTTCTTCCAACTGTGTTGAGAGAGGAAAAAGATTTACTGGCTAAAAACCCTTCCATTCTTTCTTCTGATTCTGCCCCGAACCGAAACGTCCGCAGACAAAAGACTAATTAATAGTATATCTATAATACTTACATCTTCAAACACTTTTAATACGGCAAAATTAATAGGAACCATCATAGTTGTCGCAGCAGTATTAGTAATCCACATTGAAGCAAAGGTTGTGACGCAACACATGGCCAAGAGTAATCTACATGGAACCAAGTACAAAAAAGATTAGTTTGGCTATTCCCTTAGACTTTAAGACAGTTTTATAATAATTTATTAGGGAAAGAAGACCTTGCATACAGACTAATAAAAATAAATATTAATCAGACGGCAACAAGGTGCGAGTCTTTAACATTTGGGTCACGCCGGTCCTGATGTTTTCTTTTGGCATACTCAAATGAACTCAGACTGAACTTGACCTGGATAGGCGAGTCCGGACTGCTGACTGCAAACCTTCGTTCATCAGTCATGAGATTGTACATCCCGCGGAAATGTGGGGGTCGAGGCTTTTTAAATGCTAAGAGCCTTCATAACCGTGAGGTGTGCAATCACAGAGAATATTTCCTGAAAGTGGACAAGGGATTCACACCACTATCTTTGCCTTAGGAGAACTGGAACACATCCGTAGTACTGAGCGTCAATGACCGCAAGGAGGTATGGAGTAGCAAGGAGCTGGCTACGATTCAGTAACCTCTTCGGAGAAACTGAAAGATTTGTATGTGCAATTATGGACGAAGTTATCCTCACGAATAACTACCGGAAATATATTATGAAGGATGGGAAGGTTGACATAATGTCGGGCGTGTCATTACCCCTGTGAATCCATCAGACATATTTCCGGCTGTGGTCATTTGGCTAATGGCGAATACTTGCAAATACATAATCAGGTGGCCAAGATTATTCATCGGCAACTTGCTTTGAAATACCGGCTTGTTGGGTCTGAGGTACCGTACTACAAGTATGTGCCCGACCCAGTTCTTGAAAAAGACCATATTATTATCACATTGCACTGGGATCCGTCTATCACCAATGACAGGATCCAATAGGCTACAATGGTCCTGTCATTGTAGCCTGACAGAGTGGTGGTAGATCGCCTAGCGCGTCTCACGATGATAATTGATGTTGCCATTCCTAAAGACGAGAACTTCGTAAACAATTAAAATATCTTGACTTGGTTCACGGGGTTGTTGGCATGTGGAATGTGGCTGTGAATATTGTCTTGATAGTTGTATCGACAATTGGGTTAATCCCCAAAGCATCGACAACCATCTTAAGAGGCTGACGCCAGGCGGAAGGAGGGCCTCGAAACGACTTGTATAATTGTGAGGAGGTTTCTGTCTCTAGAGCCCTAACCAGTGGTAGCTTGGTAGCTTGGTAGCTTGGACCTTGGTTCCCGCTGCCGGCTGGCTCCTATTTTTAAATATTATCATATTGTATTTTATAGTAATATTTAAAAATGTTATGTTAGAGTTATTTGAATAAATATTAATTAAATTATTATCAAATGTCTTACTTCAGGTGCGAGTAACCTATAAGCTGTATAGCGAAGTATGCCAGACGTTTATGAAGGCCAGATTGTTCCACAGAATAAGCTAAAACCAGACTTCCTAAAAACATCATGACAGAATCCTGTAAAAAAAAAAGATCTATATTATTATTAATATTCCTTCTGTTCTGCCTTCTTAGCCAAATATATTGCTAAGAAGCGAATTGTCACCGTTTCCTCTTTTCATTTCTTAGAACTTGTAGCAGCGGACGGCGCTTATACAAAGAGACGTAAGCTTGCATCGCACCGCGGATCCTGAGCTTACCTGTGGGGAGGTACGTACGTCACGACTCCGATTAGGTGAACAGTTGTAACGGTGACAATCCCTATCCGAGCTGATGTGCAAAGTCTGATAATGATACTATGCCTGTCAACATTCCTGCTCGTCTTGTCATAAAGAAAATTCGAAAGTACTTTACATTGACCAGTCGCTAGGCAACAGCTCCCTGGTAAAACTAGAGGGACTACGATTTTCGGTTTCTTAATTACGTTTTCGGATTAATTTTTAAGTATTGACAATTTGAAGTTAAACGTAATAACACAATAATAAGAGACATCTATCGTATATATTGTTTTATGTATATATCTATACTAATATTATAAAGAGGTAAAATTTGTAAGTTTGTATCTATGTAAGTTTATATGTAGGGGTAATCTTTGGAACCACTGGTCGGATAACCTAAATTCTTTCACTGATAGATAGGTCCAATATTCCTGAGTCCTGGCTATTAAAACATCACGCTACGATTTAATGGAGCTGAGCAGCGAGTAAAACCGCTCGAGATTAGCTGGTTAATTATACATGTAAGATCATTTATTATTTTTTCATTAACCATAGTTTCATAAATATGGTGCTATTGTTATATAAAATGAATATTATTTTTTATTTAAACAAAACTTCTACAATCCTGAGACTTCCAAACCACCTGCTTATTTAAGTGTGGAAGTTAAGTTATGCTAGACTCTGATATGCTCATAAGTCAGTAGAGAATTAGAATATCTTTATATATATAATTCTGCTGTACGTGTAATATCATTCCTTAACGGCTTGACCGATTTAAATGTTTTTTTTCTTTATGCGTTTTGAGTAGCAGTACCTTAGATGGTTTAGATTCACAAATAAGCCCGGCAGATGGCGCTGATTGCTTGGAAAAGCATGTGACCTCAGAAACGGCCCTAACGATTCCGCTGAAATTTAATATGTGGGGGTTTTCGGTCTAATTGAAATTACAATAATTTTCTGTTGTGTTCATCTACAGTTTACGCAGTGACTAGGCAACCAGCCGTTAATTCCCACTCTAACTTTGGTCTGGGCGTGAGGCGGATATGAAAGTAAAAATAAAAAACACTTTGTACTTACGTTGATATAAGTAAAGCAGCATTCTTTCGTAGACATTACATCTGTCAAAGGAAATATCACTAATGGTATGAATGATGTGACCGCCAGCGGAATACATTCAGTCACCCAGTAAATGGCCATCACGAGAAGCGTGTAGCCAGTCCATTGATATTTCTGAAATTTCAAATTCATTTAATAATGCAGGTAAAGGGTATTGTGGTAATAACAGGGAATACGTTATTGTACCAGCCTTGCTCTTCCTGGGGGTGCTACAAAAGCTTGCCAAAGTACTATGCACTTAAAAGAAATACCGGGCAGTTCTGTCTGATAAATCTGGACACATCAAAGTGTAACCTCTTATTATGTGAAAAAATAGTAAACGTAGAGAAGGCCATGATAATACTGCAGAGAAAGTCGAAATTAACAAGTAAAATAATGAAACATGGCCGTGATTCAAGCACGATAATACTTGAAACAAGTAATGTAAATAAGATTTAGAAAATTATTCCATCTTGTTCTACTACTGAACTTTAATTCAAGTAACTCACCGTCGGAGGAAATGGAATTAATACAACAGTGAAAAATGCTGGGGTTAATACGACGACAACACCTCGCCAATGTGCAATCATAAAATATTTCCATTTTTCTGTAGAAGTCAGGTATGGTTCCTCTTTCCTAAAATCATATAATCTTTCTTAAAAACTCAGTCACTTGCCGTTTTAGTTTATTTTATGACAGAGTTTCTGCCCAACTAAAGTTAAAAACGCGATATATAGTTGGCCGTTTGAAAAGCAAAAGTTGACGTAAATTCCTCTGTAATGTAAAAACTTTTATTCCGCCACGCACCGAAAAATTTACCCTTGCGACCTGCTTCAGCGCGTATACTTAGGCGCGAACGATCGGCCTCACCTCCAAATAACACAGCAGCAAGTACAACTACAAGCACAATAGCAAGTAACGGCAAGGAGGTTTACCGCCCTTCCTCAGGTCGTGTAATAGTTTGTTGCCTACAAATCACTGGTATCAACATCGTTCTTTGGGATGCCTTTTGGCGGCCGTACTATATCCACGCCATGGATCGCACGATCCCCAAATACAATCTCCTACAGAATGGCTGGAAAATCATCTCCTTGTAATGTATTCAGTGTTACGGCAAAAATTAATTAAATTCTTTTAAAATTAAAAGGTAAGTTACGAACATAACAACGAAACAAAGTAACGAATTTGTTCAATTTAATTCTAAAAACTCAGTGTATCGCACTTAATAGATCGAGGCAGTATTTCACTTCATGGCATCGCATGCTACGTAATAAGGCGAATTTTTGACCCATATGGTATTGTTAACTCAAAGCTTGGTCACTCCAGAAATAGTTTTTCCTTCAGGTTTGCCTCCACTGACGAGCCGCTCGAACCGTTAACTGTCCTGATGTTTCGGCGCAACTATACTCTATGGCACTACGTAAGGACTGGCTGTGCATTTTCTATCACTTATGCGGTATAAATCCGAAGAATTGTTTGGCTTGATCTCTACAATCGACTATCTTTTCCCCATCGACCCATATGACAACACTTTCATCCCTATTTATATAGGTTTTCAACTGTGCGGTTTTTGCGAAACTTTGTCTCGCACAGCAAAACTTTATAATCTTTCGGCAGCGTTAGCATTTCTGAACCTTCATATTTTCGGGAAATGAGCGTTCTCTTAAAAGCCTTCAACGCGTCTGTGACTCCTCTAGAGTTGCGAATGTCCATGATGGGTGGCGCTTATTATTAATCATTTAGATTGCAAAAATTGATGAGGCTCTTTAATCCTTAAGTTTTTTATACTACTACTAAAATATAGCTTTGCGAACTTAAGTCAGTAGAAAATCCATATTTACTCTACTTACATTAAAATAGGAAGCCATGTGTTTTTACCACAACCATCCTAGATGGACTAAGTCGTTAGCTCAGAATACAGAACAAACCAGAAGGCGTCATCGCGCTTCAAACTGAAGTAACTAAAACCACTCATAACTAGAGTAGTATGAAATTTCTACGATCAGTCAATTTTGGCACGTGGCATATCGTGACGTATTTACGAGTATCAATTTTAATTTTATTATGCCGTCTTGTGTTATTACTACGAGTCAAAATGCGGCTGGAATTACGAAAAAAGTGGATAAAATTACATTTCATCTGCAAGCATCGACTGCAATAGTATATTTAATTAATTATTGATTTTTTTTTATCGATTTATATTTCTATGAAAATGATGCGGCCATTTTGTGAGTGTTGTCATTTTTGGTGAAAATTTTACCCACTTATTTATGTGTTGTGAGTTATATTTTTGCCCATTATGGAACCTTTGTCGTATTCGATTCCCTACCAATCGACAAACAAAAAAAAATGAAAATGAATAAAAATCATACAAAGAGCACGGTTAGATAAATTTTAAAATCATCTAGCCGGAGCATAGTTTTGCTCAATTCACTTTGAACAGCAATATATTTATGACAGAGGTGGTTTAAAAAGACTGAAAAAAAAACAAACTCCTACTAACTATACTAATTATAATGCTGGAGAGTTTGTTTGTTGGTTTGCTTGAACGCGCTAATCTGAGGAACTAAGAAAAGTAGGTAAACTTCTAATCAGTTCAGAGTCTAAAAGACAATACATGTTATAAAAACATAAAACAGCAGAAGAGAACGCAATCAAACCTTTGTACTTATTGAAATTTTGTTTTATTTGTTGTGAATAGTAAGTGTAACTAAAATTAACACAGCTAGAAATCGTCAACATTTATGATACCTGCACGAAATGTGTAAACCACTAGTCTGTTAAATTTATCGTAAGATGACCAATTTTTTACCAATTAAATATATTTTGCCCTCCTTTTGTAAAATTACCCCAAACCAAGGGAATTCTTCCACTGTCGGCAACACTACGCGGGTGTGAAGTGCGGCTGGCGGGGGGACTGACGTATTGTTTTTGGACACATTTGACGACATGCAATTGTGAATGAACGCGGATTCTGGTTTGTTCTGTATTCTGAGGTCGTTAGTAACTGTTAGTTTAAAAAATAAAAAACATTTCTAACTTACGGCGCCATTGTCGCGGGTTTTCCTTTACTTTCTATCAAATATTATATCAGTAATTTTTAATTAGACACAATGCAAGAAAAAAATCACTATTTTCTTCTGTAACGTCTTGCGATCAATGTCAGAAGGAAAATGTGTTTTCATAATTTGAAATACGAGAACAAGAATTGGTGGTTTACATTCAACCAGTACTTTTTGACATAAGAACTTTTTAAGGAGATCAAAGAAGTTAATTTAATAAATAATTTTTTTTTTTTTTTTATTGATTATAGGTTCGCGCTTGACCGCTATCTCACCTGATGGAAAGCGAGTAAATTTTAGTAATATTTTTATCTTATTTTCTTTATCAGAATAAAAATGATTTGCATCAATTCTAAAGGTCATTTGTTCAACGTTTGGCAGCCAAGAACTAAGTTTAAATAAAAACAAAGGTTAAAGTAAGAGAAAGTGTCCATTTAACAATTTTATTAGTTTTGTAAGTTTCACAAACACGAAAAGAGTAGCGTAGCGGCGCGGGCGTGCCATTATTGGAGGACCGTGGTTCTGTAGCCCCAGCAACAGGCGGATTGACGCAGCTAGCTTCAGTTGTCGAAACGCCGTTCGCGTGCTAACACCTCACTCAGTTCCTACCCGTACTTTGGGCGGTCCGGACTACGAATCCCGGCGTTCTATCGCGGTACACCAATAAACTTGTAAAAAACATTCAATTTACGTGTTTGTTAGTGACAGTATAAAAAGAAATGTAACTTGTTTATGTGTTATATTGTTTATATAATATTATATGGATAATCACCGTGAAAGATGACTGGAGTCATTAAATATTCATGATATCTTGTGAGTACTACAAATCTGGCAACGTAAGTCGACTGTATCAACAGGTCAGTTTTATTGTAACGAAAATATTTTTTGATCGCGTGATAAATTACTTTTTTTTGGATTATGATGATAGTGCTGTAAAAGCAAACTTTTCATTTTGTGTCTAACTTTAAAATATAGTTGTTCCAGTATGTATACGATATATAGATAATAAGTTTTAGGATTTATTGTTTATTATTAACATATAAGAGGGAGATTTCCTATTTATCATATAAATAAAGTTCTGCAATATTCAAACCGTCGTCAACATATAATAATGGTAATTATTTTTATAGTAGGTATGTAGCTGGTCTAATTATTATATAATTTCGTTTTAAAACATGACTCTATAATGAACATTTAAATAATATTCAAGTTTGAAATAGTTATAAAAATTTTTAAATAAAAATAATATTAAATTAAGCGTAACACACATTGAACTTAAGTAGTAGTAAATATTTAAGTACTTTTGCCTTATTAGTCTCACTAAAATATATCCACAAACCAGCTTAACTATTCTTTTACCTAACGATCTGATTGACTAGCTTGACTTTTTCATTGAAGCTGGCGGTAGAAAGGAGTTGGCACTAAAAGCGAGTTGCTCTTCAAATGGTAGGTATACGTTAGTTTAGATTTGAATTGTAACCCTTATGGAAATCGAACTGTACCATCGGAAATGTACTTACAGCTTCCAGAACATTGATAAGATGAAGTTAAAGTTTTTATTTGAAAACCAAGTGCTACAATAGGTGTTGTTAGTACGTGTAATCAGTTCAAAACTTAGTGCCTTGCACAAGCGTTGCAAAATTTGGTTATTGAACATTGATTGATCATTAAACAGGCTTGACAATAAACTAAATGGCTTATTAATTTATTTAGCTACGGCATATACATACATCAATACAATGGTATTTTTGCACTTATACATAAAAACTTGCTGTCGGCACAATACGTCTTTTTTCCATTTTTTCAATCAGACTATTTATCACAATTCGTTTTTCAGGCTTCAAACAGCAATCCTGTTTTGCTGTAGGTTTTTTTATGTCTACATTTTCAAATTATGCTATACTATTACTACAACAACTTTAAATTTATATGACTACTTTGTCACCAATATAGTCAGTAAACAACAAGCACCAGAAATCATTTTCAAGAGGTTTAGCAATATGATCTTTAAGTTTGAAATATTAAGGTCGACCCCTGGTGAAAACCCACTGCCACATTAAAGCATCAATTATGCACCCAAATCTGTGTACGCTAATGTGTGTTTCAATTATACTACAGAACCTCAGAATGACTCAACTTATCATCAAATATTCTATCAATTTCTTTTATATCTGCATTTCCCTCAGCGTACCGTAAGTTCGAGTTACTTTGACCCTGAACTTTGATCCAAATATTTGAACCAATGAAAAACGAATACATATTTGATTCTCAGTTATTATTGGTTAAAGGGTTTGGATCAAAGTTACCCCGCAGGGTCAAAGTAACCCGAACTTACCCGGTACTTAGGACATCTAGATGGTCAATAGCAATTAAATACTTAGTTCGTTTGTGTAATTTTACGATTTTCTAAAAATATCTTTCACGGCCTTCCGCATTCCTTGTCTATATCTTTCCAACATCTATTCGCACAACTATTATTTAATTTTTTGTACTTGATTTTTAAAGAAATCGTGTTTTTCTGAGTATTGTTAAAAAAGTTTACATAATACATATACCTACCTACTACTTTTTAATAATTTAACGTATAGGTATTTAGAATAATGAAAAAGCTCTAGAACAAAATAAAATATCTCTATGAAAGTTTCATGCAATAATCACAGAATTTTAGAGAAGATTAAATAAAAAAAATATATCTACAAATCTATGATGGTCATAAAACTGAATAATTAAATGGCATGATAAGTTGACCTAAATTTAGTTCAAAGTACATTGTTACAATAAATTAGTGCAATCATAATGGTGTGGGGCACCACTCATAGGCTTGGAGCATTATTTCAGCTCAAATGTGAAATTCCTTATATTCGTAGTGCATCCAAATTCACGATAGTCTTCGGCAATACCCGAAGAGTACAGATGCTATCAGAGAAATTGGAAAAGTTGCAAGATAAGGGGTGGGGAAGAAATAAGAAAGCAAGAAAATACACAAATGTTAGCAAAAATAAAAGTACAATCGCATGCAGACATGTTAAGCCAGTCAATACACTAACTAGTTTTGACACTATTATCATATATGTATGTATATGTTACAATCCTACTTTATGTTACAATATCAGTATGAAATAACTATTAACCGTACGAATTCGTTTGCCAAATAACAGGCAAACATTCTTTCATTTGCCGGTAAAAAATATGTTGGCGAAACTAATAGAATTGTATTGGCCAAGAGGCAGTGGCTCCGATGACGACACAACCTAGTTATTTGGCAAAGGGACAGGACGAGGATACGATAATAGTTTAGAATCGACAGTTATCTGCAAGCCAAGGGATCGACCTTGCTTATACGCTGACATTTACGCCATGTTTACTTGGGACCCAGCAATGTTTGCCTCCATAATGGATAGAAGTAAACATTATATTCATTTCCTGATTTGCGTTCGACATTTCCAACCCGCTGTTTGGCGACTAGGCTATCATTTTCGGCAAGTCCCCTTCTGTTAATAGTTAAACAGTTGCCTATACCTATATAATGTACGACGCACTCGAACTCATGATATATCTAGTGTTTGAGATTTACTAAGTTTATAGGGAACAGTGAAAAGAAACAATTTATTTTTGTATATAGACAACTTTAACTAAAAATATCTAGATGTAGCCAGCATTTTCTATTTGACTATTCTCAAAAGAAATGCGGAAACAAACTAAGAGTTCAGTGCGTGTTCAGCCGGGGTTATGGGGCAAGCGCAATAAGTCACTGCAGCCTTGGCTTAGAGTAGCTCGCAGGCGGGAGAAGTCATTTTATGATTTTC